ACAGCTGCACCCCAAAATCCTCAGCTGCACCCCAAAATCCACAGCTGCACCCCAAAATCCCTCAGCTGCACCCTGAAATCCCTCAGCTGCACCCTGAAATCCACAGCTGCACCCTAAATCCACAGCTGCACCCCAAATCCACAGCTGCACCCCAAAATCCTCAGCTGCACCCCAAAATCCACAGCTGCACCCCAAATCCCACAGATGCACCCCAAAATCCCCAGCTGCGCCCCAAAATCCTCAGCTGCACCCCAAATCCCACAGCTGCACCCCAAATCTCCCAGCTGCACCCCAAATCCCACAGCTGCGCCCCAAAATCCCACAGCTGCACCCCAAAATCCTCAGCTGTACCCCAAAATCCTCAGCTGCAGCCCAAATCCCACAGCTGCACCCCAAAATCTACAGCTGCACCCCAAAATCCTCAGCTGCACCCCAAATCCCCAGCACCCCCTCCAGCTGAGGACATTCTGGGACCCCACGTGGCTCAGGAGCAGCCACCCCACCCACACAGGGTTTTCTGCACAATTTCCCATTTCCTAAGAACTTTCTGAGTAAAAATTACTGCATTTTACCAAAACCCAGCAGAATTTCACTGGAAACAAGTCAGAAATTGCAGCAGACAGTTTTAAAAAATCTGATTTTCACACAGCAATCCTAAAGAATTTGTAAATAAAGCCATTTAAAGCTCTTACTTTTGCAGGCGGATGAGATAGGTCTTGTTATCCACATCATAAACGTTGTTCACTCTCATGCCCAACAAGCTGCCAAAAGGAAAACAAGGAATGCTCTGGAGAGCCCAAAACACAACTGGGTGGGAAAAAATCCCAGTGGGAATGAATGTATACAGAAGGGCAAGTTATAATAAATTACCAAGTTATGATAAATTACCCAGGAGTAACCAAAAGGGCAGCAAAGGAAGATTAATGGAATGAGCTGGAAGCAACAACCATGGAGAGATGGAGAGACTGCTCTTACAACATGGCAATTAAGAGAAGGAGAAAATTAGACGGAGAAATTTATATTCATGGGTAAAATGGAGAAAGGTGCCAGGTCCTGCCCGTGCTCCTCTTTGTGGCAGGGATGTAAAATGAACTGGTGACAGTGGAGCTCCAGGCCAGCACAGGGCACCAGTAATGCCAGTGTGGGCACTGAACTGGCCTGGGGTGTCAGTGATGCCCTTCAGAGCGGGGATGGACACCGGGAATGTGTCAGGAGTTTCCCAGCTGGGAAACTGGGAGTGTTCCCTTGGAAAGGAGAAGGCTCCAGGCAGAGCTCAGAGCCCCTGGCAGGGCCTGAAGGGGCTCCAGGAGAGCTGGAGAGGGACTGGGGACAAGGGATGGAGGGACAGGAGCCAGGGAATGGCTCCCAGTGCCAGAGGGCAGGGATGGATGGGAGATAATTGGGAATTCCTGGCTGGGCTGGAATTGCCAGAGCAGTTGTGGCTGCCCCTGGATCCCTGGCAGTGCCCAAGGCCAGGCTGGACACTGGGACAGTGGGAGGTGTCCCTGCCACGGCAGGGGTGGAAGGGGATGGCGGCGGGGCTGAGGGGGGTCTGTGCTGAGGGACAGAGCGGTGACAGCGGGACACGAGGGAGCAGCAGAGCCCCCACAGCCCTGAGACTACGGCCGGGACCAGGACCACGGCCAGGAGGAGAGGGGACAGAACCAAGACCGGCACCGGCAGGACGAGGACCACGGCCAGAAAGAGGAGTGAGAACAGAACCAGAACGAGAACCAGGACAGGACCGGGACCG